TATAAATTTGCTTATACTTTAGATAATCAAAAATGAAGAACTTAGAATTTTTATCTTTACAAAGATTCTAAGATTCTAACATAAAAGCTATTTAAGTATTTAATTCTTAATGAAAAAATGAAATAAGATTATTCAAACTGTTTTTACTTGAATAAAGTTCATTTATAATTGAGGAAGATAACAATCAAATTTGTCCCGCTTATAAAATTGTAGGCTAATGAAATTTCGAATCAAAGATTTTTATAGCATTTTAAATAATCTGAACTTTCAATTTGCTTAGGATAGTTATAAGTTTGATTAACAGATTGCCATATAAAAGGGATTAGAGAAGATACATAAAGTAGTTACTGTAAACAATATTAATATTCAATAGTTTATTTATACCGCTGTTGAATAATTACCTTTGTATTTCAAAGATCTTAAATCATAGAACAAATTAAGTAAATTTCTGCATTATTGGGGCAATTGGAACTGATGATTTTTAGAAAATTAAGTGATGGAAGGCTGTGTAAATTAATTTATATATGCTGAGCTGATTAAAGAGCTTTAACATAAATATTAAGAAGAAATTTTTTTCTGATATTGGACAATAGTCCTATCCACAAAAGTAAAAAGGCACAAAAACTTTTAAAAATAGTTATTACAATATTATTGCCTCTTTATAGTTCATAACTGAATCCAATAGAAAAATGTATGTCTGTTAATTAATTTTTAATTAAATTTCTGAAATTTCTATTGAAAAATCTATTGCATCGATTGTTTCTTATCTTAATAAATTGTTCCTAAATAGAGTTTTGGAAATTTATAAACAAATCATGCTCTTTTTCAAAAATAAGAAACAAAAATATGTATTTCGTTAGTAATACCTTCAAATTCCAGCAATATAAAGAGCTCAATCTTAATAATAAAATTTTTTATAGATAATAAATACAAAATCAAATTTGATCATCGAAATACATCAGTCATTATTTAAAAAATAATTCATTTTGGTTTATAAAATTTCTGTTTTAATTTATACCTATTAGCTGAATCAATATGAATTTTTATACAACTCTTGAAAAAAATAAATGAGTTTTATTAGATTGACTTATCTCAAAATTGAATCATTGAAAATAAATTGATTATTGAAATATATCAGTTAAGAAATAATAGTTGTTCAATTTTATATATTTAGGAAAAAATTATTCACAAAACCAATAAATTCAATATACATAGGGTTTAGATTAATATTTTGTAAAATGAATTTATTTATAAATATAAGTATTTAATAGAATTCGAGATTTATAAATAAATAGAATATAAAATTAAGAATTAGCTGTTTTAAACAACTTTATTAAAGAAATCAGAGAATTAATTATATATGATGTTTGTAACATATATATTTCATTTCTATAAGAAAATGACATCAATTTTATGATAATATATATATATATATAATTCCTGTTAGGGAACCAAACACAAATGAAAATACTCACTTTCTTA